GGTTTAGGCTTCAGGTAGTAAGTAGATTTTAGTGTTTAGGGTTTAGGGTTTAGGGTTTTAGGGTTTAGGGTTTCAGGGTTTAGGGTTTAGGGTTTTAGGGTTTAGGGTTTAGGGTTTAGGATTTTAGTGTTTAGGGTTTAGGGTTTAGGGTTTAGGGTCTAGGGATATATGTATATGTATGTATATAGGGCATAGTGACATAGTGATATATACATATGTTTACATACATTTTGCTCTTGAGGGCTTCGGATGCTTTGCACAAAGGGTCTAGGATGGTGAGAACTCGCTTATTACGCTGCCTTTGAAGCGGCTGACGGTTTAGGACCTTCAGGACTTTCGGCAGGGCTTAGGGGTGAGGGTTTCTTTTCAATCCTAAACCCCTAACCCTAAATTGAGGGTCCGGGGTCTTGCTTGGAAGGACTCCGGGTTGAAATTTTCTCTTCGAGGGTTTCTTGTGTAATATAGGGATCGCGGTACCGCGAAGAGGTTAAAAAATAATTGCTCTGCCAACTAGGTTTGTGGTATACTCCGGCCTCATAAAGCATCGCGCGGGGATAATGATGTTCCAACTTTCTGGGTTCAGCTTTGGATGCTGTGTACAGGGTTTGGGGATCTGGGATTCTCGGTTTAGGGTTTAGGGGTTTCTCTAGACTCTAAACTTCTTGGAGGCATTAGGGTTTTGGGGTTTGGAGGTTTGCGGTTTGACCACTTGGGATGTAGGATTTACCCTGAGGTTCCGGGTATACATGGATTACACAGGGGTGCAAAAGCCCACGAGTAAGAACAGCTGTTAGCTACTAGATAGGTTAGGAGATTCAGACTATGGGGGATTGACGGGCGTGGACTCTGCACGCCTCAGGCCTGGCAGAATAGTCCTTACGCGACGTTTTATCACCATCTTCATCACCACTTGTCATTTAGGGTTTAGGGTTTTGGGCATCGACATCACCACCATCGTCGCATTCATTCTCATTGTCATTGTGATCCTACCATCATCGTCGTCGTCACGGAAAGAACAGCTAACTCGTGAGATCGAAGCAAAGCGCACCTGAGATGTGAATGACTGGTCTAGGGGCCTTGATAAGCAGAATAGGGTTGTGGGGTATCTCGTACTATAATTGTAATAAGGAGCCCCAAAACCCTATTCTAATTAATAAGGCCCCTACGTTATTCCAAGAGCCCCTTCCTTGCATTGGTGCTGGCTTGATCCTACGTCCGAAACTGGAACAGAGAGTCATCCCTACACCCGAAGGTCTATACGCCTTAGGTTTAGGATGGTTTAGGGTTTAGGGTTTGTGGTTTAGGGTTTACGGTTTGGGATTCAGGGTTTAGGGCAATAAAAATCACCAGCAGTTATCAAAAGAGAGATAGCGCTATGAACATTGTTGAAAAATGGCATTGTCGGCGCTGTGTGGTGAGTGCTCCATTCGAGACGCCCCTACCCAACAACGTAGAACCGCTGCTGCAGTCAAAGTTGCCTTCAGCAAGGAGATGCCACGCCTCGCACATGACCCTACTTAGGCGTTAACCCTAAACCCTAAACCGTTTCAAAACAAAAAACCTTGTTGGGGAGTCCTTTCAAGAAGGATCCCACCGCATTCAGGACATCTCCTATCCGAAGCACCTACTTGCGACCTCCGTTTCGTTCAAACTTCTATCGGAAATTGGAGGTTGCCTTTGGGATGTGACGGCCTGCTGGGTTAAGGCTTAAGGACTCAAGGCTTTTGGTTCCCCGACAGCCCCCAAAAAGGTGGTTCAGGTCCCCAAACACAATGCTCTGGAGCCAAAACTTTATGATGCTGGGTTATGTACCCTATACTGTGGCCGTAAACTACACACATGGGCCTACTTTAAAGCGTATGTATACACCTTTAGGAGGTAGAAGATCAAACGTGCCTGTTGCACCATGAAGTCGGTACTGCCGTACTCTAATCCCGAAGCCTTAGTCACAGGCGGGTAAGGGGACCCTAATATAGTACCCTAAATAGTAGGATCCTTATTAAGCACCCCAAAATACGGTACCTCCAACA